GCACTGGGTGGAGGGAAGAACATATGTCTCCCCTGAGTGCCAGTGCCCACACACTGTTGCAGTGTGAAGTCCAAAAGATCTTCAGGCTGGAAACCTGAAGTGGTCTCAGGTCCATAGTGTTCGCAGATGATAGCATAAGCAAATCCAAAACTTCCCTGGAAGAAGTGGCCTGCACACCAAGCCAACAAAGATCTTTAGGCACTGGAGACTGAAAGGTGACCCAGATCTCAGAGATGCTAACAAAAAAATTTTCATTTTAGAAGCTGTGGAGTATGGTAATGGCACCAGATATTTATGGCTAAAGATGAAGGGTCATTCAGTAAATGAGAATGGAAACACAGCTTAGCAACTTGGGATATTAAATAACTACCACCTAGCCTAAGGATAGAACTGAAAACAAGAATCCTTATGAGCACTAGAAGAAAATAGGAACTGAGACTGAGAATCACCCTTCTGGCCATGGAAGAAAAAAGTGATAGAGAAGCATTTATCTCCTGGAATAAGACAAAATGCAAAATTTCCGTACGTCAAAAGGGACCCTGAATAAATTAAAGGCAGGCAAAACTAGGAAAAAATAATAGTAACCTTATTACATCCTAACAGTTTGATATGTGCATGAATTTTCTCCTTGACCATTTTTATACTAGTGAAAAAATTAGAAACGTTAAAAAGGGGAGGAATTGAAGAAATTGTAACTCATCTATACTATAAAACGTGTTTTTGAAGAAAACTTATTGGCACCAAAAAATTCTTTAAAAATGTTGAATGAAATAAAATGAATCTAAATTATTAAAAATAAAAAGCACCCAGCATGTATGTATGTTGCCCAGGCTGGCCTTGAACTCCTGGGCTCAATTGGTCCTCTTACCTCAGCCTTCCAAGTGCCTGGGACTTACAGGTGTGGGCCACTGTGCCCAGCAAAAAACACCCTTTTATCTCCCACCCTTTACTCAAGAGCACCATATTTTTATAAACTTCTTATGAAACTGAAATAAATATATTTTTTCAATAATTAAAAAAAACTGAGCATGCTGATTAATTCTGATCAGAATCAGATAATTATACCAAGTTTATATAATTTTAGCCAGAAGCACAAAAAGTTTTACTTAGCCTGTCCTACATAATTTTTACTTTATTTTACTCATTTGAAATATGGAGAATAGTTCACTGGGACTAAGAAAGCCCACATTAAGAATTACTGCTTTAGGCTGGGTACAGTGGCTCACGCCTATAATTCCAGCACTTTGAGAAGGTGAGGCAGGCAGATTATAAGGTCAAGAGATCGAGCCCATCCTGGCCAACATAGTGAAACCCCCGTCTCTACTTAAAATATAAAAATTAGCTGGGCGTGGTGGCGAGCATCTGTAGTCCCAGCTCCTCAGGAGGCTGAGGCAGGAGAATAGCTCAAACTCAGGAGGTGGAGGTTGCAGTGAGCCGAAATCACACCACCGCATTCCAACCTGGTGATAAAGTAAGATTTTTGTCTGTGGGGTGGGGGGCAGGGGGAGGAAATTACTACTTTAAAATGCAAGATTAAAATCTAAGAAATTACTTTGAGATATTTACATATTAATCAAAACAACATTTAATTCATTTGTTGGTTATTCCTCCTCATTTCAGCTGTAATTTTGATTACGTAAAGAAAAATCAGTTTACCTAGGTATATCATATTTAGGAAAATGATGTGTTTGCTTGTTTCTTGTTCATATGAATGTAATTAGATATATTTAGAAATAGGACTTTGAAAAATACTTATTTTAGGATAAGAAGAATTTATACAAGGTTAAATTTTTATGAGTTAGAATTTTGTGAATTTTGATACTAGTTAACCTTTCTACCAAATGTCTATTTGTTGACATAATCAAATTCTCCTTCAAAAAGGTTGCTTTTTCATCACAATGTAAATAAAGATTAAGTCAAAAGGGTTAGCATGGAATCCTCATATTTCTGCTTTATTTGTTCAGATTCAACATAGGAATAGTTTTTATTGGATGTAGAGAAATCATAGTGTATGGGATGAATCAAATGTTACTCTTTAATGAAGGAAAAAATTTTGGTTCCCCTATCCAATAGTAAAGCCTCTTTAAAAGTTTCTTGCTAGGTGTGATGACTCACACCTGTAATCCCAGCACTTTGGGAGGCCAAGGCCAGCGGACCACCTGAGGTCAGGAGTTCAAGATCCGCCTGGCCAACATGGTGAAATCCCGTCTCTACTAAAAATACAAAAATTAGCCAGGTGTGGTGGTGTAGGTCTGTAGTCCCAGCTAATCAGGAGGCTGAGGAGGAGAATTGCTTGAACCCGGGAGCGGAGGTTGCATGACCCAGGATCATGCCACTGCACTTCAGCCCGGGCAATAGAGGGAGGTTCCATCTCAAAAAAAAAAAAAAAAAAAGAATTTTAAAATACTCACGTGCTTTTTTGTGCTGTTAATATTATACAAGTTAGAATGTTGCTCTGCTTTGTAGACAGTTGAGCTTTAAAAATATTCTTTAAAATGGTACAATTGGGCTGGACGTGGTAGCTCATGTCTGTAATCCCAGCACTTTGGCCGAGGCAGGAGAACTACTTTTAAAACCAGTAGTTCAAGACCAGCTTAGGCAATATGGCAAGACTTCATCTCTACAAAAAAGTGAAAAAAAAAAAAAAAAAAAAAAAAAGCATGTGTCTGTAGTCCCAGCTACCCAGGAGAATGATGCAGGAGGATTGCATGAGCCCATGAGTTTGAGGCTGCAGTGAGCTGTGATGGTTCCAGTGCACTCCATCCTGGGCGATAGAGAGAGACCCTGTCTCAAAAGAAAAGTTCAGACTGGTAAATTTTATTATGTGTATTTTACCTCAATAAAATCAGTGCACCAGCTGTTTTCTCTAAGAGAAATTCCCATATTGCTATACATTTTCTCTCCTACTGTCCTCCATTCTTCCTGTGCCTTTTGTATCCCACTACTAAGAACACTTCCCTTTATCTTAACAAACTTTTCTTTATGTTAACAGTTTCATAGTCTTCCCTCTTGTCTGCCTTAGCTGAGACTTCCACTGAAGAAACAGCGAACATCTAGATGTTCGTAGTATTTCTGCCTTTACTTTTGTGATTTCAGTGCCCATATAGTCAATTACACAGTAATTGTGAACTTCTCATTTCCAGTGATTTGTTTTTTGACTGTGCCTTAGCTAGGCATTCAGTTTTCAGGCTGTACCATGGACCTTGGTATAACTGACACATAACCTCTCAAATCAGCTGATCTCACTGTCAAAGTCGTTTCCAGCTTGTTTGGCTGTACCAACCAGTACTGTACCCTGATCTCTGATATAAGCTACTGTCTTAGAGTTTTAGCTGGTCTTTCCCTTCTATTCCCTTCTTTGGGTCTTTTATATTTCTGTGTGATGATTTTCCTAGAATGTAAGTGTGATTATTACATTCTAGTTAGAATTCTTCAGAGGTTTTCCATTACTTAGAGAATGAAATGCACAAATAGCATGGTATACTTGGCCTTTCACAGTTTGCCTCTGGATTTTATCAGTTATTGTCTCGTATTCTGACTTTTGTGTATTTTCCTTTGGCCATATTGAAGTATTTATGTGCCTCAAACATGTCTATGTACCTAGCATAAGATGCTATTCTTTCTTCTCTGTGATGCTTTGCTTTGCTTTCCTTGTTATTGAGGCCGATTTAGGCAGTGGTTTCTTGTAGATTATATATGCCTGAATTATATCTCTTGTCACAGTATGGTACCATTTTATATTTGTACCTTTTTTTTTTTTTTGAGATGGAGTCTTGCTCCATTGCCCAGGCTGGCTGGAGTGCAGTGCAGTGGTGTGATCTTGGCTCACTGCAACCTCTGTCTCCTGGGTTCAAACAATTCTCCCATCTCAGCCTCCCAAGTAGCTGGGATCACAGGCATGCACCACCATGCCAACTAATTTTTGTATTTTTAGTAGAGATGGGGTTTCACCTTGTTGGTCAGGTTGGTCTCAAACTCCTGACCTCAGGCGATCTACCTTGGCCTCCCAAATTGCTGGGATTACAGGTGTGAGCCACCACACCCGGCCTTTATTTACAAAATGAAATAGAACTAACAAACAAAACTATTATTCTAGCTTTCTAGAATCCAAAGAAATGTTACTGGAGTCTGTATTTTTACTATTATAATTAGAAAATTTTAACATATAGCACCCATGCTGACAAAGTTAAAGTAAAACTGGTGTTGGTGATGTTTTATACTGATATAACCCTTGTGGAAAGTTCGACAGTACATGGCATTCAGAACTGAAAAATTATTTTAATGTAATTATAAAGACAAGATAAAGAATAAAAGCCAGATGTATATTTGCATGTTTATTATTATAATTGCATTTTAAAATGCATAGTTAGGCCACATGTGGTAGCCCACTCTTGTAATCCCAGCACTTTGAAAGGCCAAGGCCGGAGGATCACTTGAGACCAGGAATTTGAGATCAGCTTGGGCAACATAGTGAGACCTTGTCTCCATTAAATTGCATTACTGCACTCCAGCTTGGACAACAGAGTGCAGTAGTGCAGCCTGTCTCAAAAAAAAAAAAAAAAAAAAAAAAGTAAATAAGTAAATGCATAATTAAAAGATTAAGGAACTATATATTACAGTGGTATGCAGTGGTATTTTGTGATTCTGTGATGTTGGAACTATGGGCGATTTCTCTTTCCTTTATAGCATTTTCTATAATGTGGTTATGTTTTATGATTTAAAATGTATATAACTTAGCCAGTATTTGAATTTTTAAAAAGATGTAATGCTGAATCAAAACTCTAATATGAAAGCAACTCAACCATTGTATGAGAAATTTTTTCTTTCGTTATGGCCTTTCAGGGTCAGAGTTGGAGGTTGCCAACTAAAAGTTACTATTGAGATAAGGTATGAGTGGCCAGCATAGAGAGTTGATCACTTAATTAAGGTTTCAGGGTTGACTTATGTAGCTGTTCTTCATAAATGTTTTGTTTTAAATGTACTTTTGTTCTGGTTTTAAGGTACCAGTTTTTGGAAGAAGCTTTTCAAAATCAGAAAGGTGCAATTGAGAATCTACTGGCTAAACTTCTTGAGAAGAAGAATTATGTTCATTTTGCAGCTACTCAGGTGCAGAATAGGTGAGTTTGTTGCCTTAAAGCCATAATTTTATTTTAGAATTATTAAAGAGAAGTTGGTCCAGTTTAAATCTGTTCTCCTGTTAATACATTAAGCATATAAAGAAATTTTTTTTGAGGGAAAAATGATATGAATTTGGGATTATAATTGTTAATTAAGCAAAATTTAATTGACCAAACTTTTGTGTACCCTTTTAGGACACATCTTTGACTATTTTATAATTAATAAGACTCTAGTCTATGTTAAACCTTAAATTTGGAAAAAAAATTAATATGGAAAGAGTTGAATTATACAATTTAAAGTGGAGATTGTGTGGAAGATACGATATAGAGAAGAGAGTATCACTGATGGATAAATTATTTCCCCACCTGTAAAACAAGCATTAAAAACAGTGCTTATCTTATGAATAGCATTATAAGATGAATGCATGATACAGTTCCTTGCACATAATAAGCACTTAGATTTCAGCTGCTGCTGTTATATTTATAATTACCATCACCATTATTAAAAAAGTATTCTATTTTGGTATATTTCTAAATAAATTTATTGATAAGTGAGAGTAGGTTCCCTGAGAGAGCAATTTAACAAAGTTATGACTCTTAAACACCAGAAAGGCAAACGCTTTGAGCTGGCATAATTAAAACTAAAATTCCTGGGAGTTATTAGGGTTAATATGTGTTTATTGTATAGACTCACAAATATTAAGACTTATAATGAATATTAAAATTAATTTAATTATTTAAATGACACATAGTATTTGCTCAAAAGTATTGAATAATTGAATGAATTAGTGAGAAAAGTACTTTACACATGGTAGAAGTTTTTATGTTAAGAACTAACACCAAAAGAAAGTAAAAAGCTCCTCAGAGCTTTTCGATTGTACATACAAACACACACACACACACACACACACACGCACACACATGCACGATGGTGGGTTTTTGTTTTTGGTGTTTTGGAAATGTTCAGTTGTTTTAGGTTAAACTGGTGATAACGATTGATTTGGAGAGGATGACTTTTTCTCAGAAATGGTAGATGGTGTGTCTTTCAAAGGAAGTATGGTCAGTTGATTCATATGGCAGTCCCATATTTTTATAAAGATGTTTTGTATGTACATTGTATTTTTTAAATACGTTTTGTATATGTCTTCTAGAATCTGTTCAGGAGGTTTACCTGTTACAAGATTGCACAGGGTTGAGGACATTGATTTCATCTGTAGAAAGGTTTTTAGGGAACAGTATTAAAATGTCTAATGATAACTTCATCTTTTAGACCCATTTTTCACTGACCTATCTCCATTATTTTTTAATGTGCATTTTTTTCTTCAAAATCGAACACAGAGTAGACTTGGTTAAGTTCAGTAGAGTCTGACTGAGGCTAACTGCTCTTTGCTTTCAGCAGAGATGCTAAATGCTAACTGATTTCTGTCTTTGGCTCAGCCATTTTACATTTGAAACCTATATTTCTTATCACTAGTTATTAGTACCTTTATATGTTTTTAAAAATATCTTCCACTCACCTTAGTAAGATAAGGACCGAACTCAAAATTTTCAAGTAAGTGCCAAATGATGTACAGAGGAGGGAAAAATTACACGATTGCTTGGAGTGTACTAAATTCAAACTTGGCAGATGAAAGGTAGTTTAGGGCCTGAAAGCATGGTTATAGTTTTTACAGAATTAGAATGTATAAAAACTGAAGGCTGCGTCTTATGGTTAGTGGTTGACATTTTATATATTTACATTGGTGGGATTCTCCACTTCCTGTTTTGTAAATACCAACATATCAACCACTTCATATTTGCACCTAAAATTTCCATAACTGCTTTGAGTGCTTACACCTATTTCTAAAACATCTAATAGCTACTCTTAAAAATGGATTGAAAATGTTTTATGCCCTTTATTGTATACAACAGGAAACCGCTTTGAGAGTAATTTTCAAGGGAGTATATCAGAACCCACGTTTGAAGCGGCTAAGTTATAAATGAAAGTAAATGCTTCTAAGTTTAACTCTTACCCTTTCAAAAGATAATTATTGCGTGTGACATTGTCTTTTTGCACATTGTTCTTGGAAAGCATCAAGATTAAACAGAACCAATGTGCCACATTGGACACTAACCAGCAGTCCCTGGTGTTTGGTGTTTGTGCATCATATTTATGTCATAGTTACTTAAGGAGATTGCCATCCAGCAAAAACTGGCCTTTATGAGCATAATTTAAAATTACTAAATATTAATTTCATTCTTTGTTTGTATACATAAATTGTTTGGAACAAATTGAGTGGTCAGGTTTGCTGAAACATAAGTTGTACATTTTGACAAAGCTTTCATTTTAATTACTCAGTTAAGTGCCCAGTTGGATGAATTTCTGTAACAGTTGATGATTCAGAGACCTAGGATAAGTTGATAACCTAATGATGCATTTCTCTTATTCAGGATAAAAGAAGTAAATGAGACTAACAAACGAGTAGAACAGGAAATTAAAGTGGCCATTTTCACCCTTATCAATGAAATTAATAAGAAAGGAAAATCTCTGTTACAGCAGCTAGAGGTATGGTTCAAAGCCAAAATAAAACAAAAACTGCTTCTCTTGCTCATTAGCTGTTTTTAATGTTTATTGAAAACTCTTTTAGATGGGTTGGGGGGTATGGAAATAAAAAATTAAAAATAAGGTTTTTAAAATTTATTTTTGGAAAAGAGACCTTTTCTAGTTAGTTACTCGTGGAGCCCAATTTAATAACACTGACTTTAGCTGTATACCTTAGGAGATAGTGGTATCCTCTTAGAAATCTAATAATTGTTACTAAGGACTGGGCACGGTGACTCACGCCTGTAATCCCAACACTATGGGAGTCCAAGGCAGACAGATTGCTTCAGCCCTGGGTTCCAGACCCACCCGGGCAACATGGTGAAACCTGCCTCTACAAGAAAATAAAAAATTAGCCAGGGTGGTAGCATGTGCCTGTAGTCATAGCTACTTGGGAAACTGAGGTGGGAGGATCGACTGAGCCCAGGAGGTCGAGGCTGCAATAAGCCGTGATTGTGTCACTGCACTCCAGCCTGGGCAACAGAGTGCAACCCTGTCTCCAAAATGAAAAAAAAAGAAAAAGAAATGTTACTAAAATGTGATGTACATGAAGGCAAAGCAGTCCCACCACATTTCTTCCCCACCTCCTTAAGATGGGGCCTCAATTTAACTTTTCCATTTAGATGCATGTTGGGCTTCTGCTTGAGTCATTTGTGTGTTTCACCTTATTTTAAAAACATTTCCATAGTTTTGCAGAAAATGCTGCTTATTTTGAAATTTGTAAACCTTAAACTTAGTGATAATTTTGTGATATTAGGTATTTATGTTGCATATTTTGATGTTAATTTGTAGATGTAAGTTTCTAGATGAAAATCTAATCAGTTTGTGAAATCCAAATTTTTAATCAAAGATTCTACTGCCCATTTGATTTGTTTTTAGCAAATTTCAAATGTGAGTTTTCTGGGAAATTGAAGTTTTAGAAAGAAAAATGTTTCCTGATTAAAAATTTCATTCTCTTAACTAGGCTTAGATGATAAGGGGATTATTTTTTCTGCAGCATTGAATAGTAATAATGAAATGATGTATTTGACTACTTTACTTCCATTAACTTCAAATTGTTGATTTTTTTTTATGTCCCATCTCTTCATAGAACCCTTTAAAAATATTAGTCACATAGTTGCATACACATCAAATTATGTCAGCAGAATGTTATCTCTGAATGGAATACATCTTTCTAGTGAAACACGGTTTGTGAGATTAAAAGTATTCTTGGCCAGGCATGGTGGCACATGCCTGTAATCCCAATACTTTGGGAAGCTGAGGCAGGCGGATCACAAGGTCAGGAGTTCGTCTGGCCAACATGGTGAAAGCCTGTCTCTACTAAAAAAATACAAAAATTAGCCCAGGCATGATGGTGTGTGCCTGTAATCCCACCTACTTGGGAGGCTGAGGCAGGAGAATTGCTTGAACCTGGGAGTCGGAGGTTACAGTGAGCCAAAATCACACCATTGCATTCCAGCCTGGGTGATAGAGCAAGACTCTGTCTCAAAAAAAAAAAAAAAAAAAAAGAAAAGAAAAGAACTCTTGTGCAGATTGTTAAAGTTGTGGGGTTCCTTTCCTACTGCACACCAGTCTGTTGCATTTAACCCTAATAGATTTTTTCCCCCCAGAAGGACCCATGTGAGTAGAGAGCACATAGTAACTATTTTTGATACACTTAAACTTACGTAAATTCATTTTAGCTGTATGTCTAAAGTAGTATTTGTAAAACCCTTTCAAGAGTTTCTGAATTAAAGGATGCCTCTTAAGATTCCTTGAGCCTGGCTAGTGGACTTTGCAGTGAACCAAGATTGCACCACTGCTCTTCAGCCTGGGGGACAGAGTGAGAACCTGTCTCAAAAAAAAAAAAAAAAAAAAACCCTCTTAAGGCTAACTTGTATACAAATAACTGATGATAAATACACCACGTACTACTAACATGATAATTTAAAAAATAGATGTTTTCTAGTGTAGTATGTCCATAAAATGTAGAAGAGACATTTTCCTAAGCTTTACAAAAGGAGTGTAATAAACCAGACTTCTGTCATTTGAATACTTTTATCCATTGATTTACATTATAAAATGAACAACTTCTTTCCTTAGGAAAAATATTGTCCAGAAAACCAACTTGAGTTGTTTTTGGGAGAAAGTTCTTAAGAAACAAGTAGATGAGTTGTTTAGCATTCTGAATGTCAAAAGTATGTAGGACATTACCCATCCCTCCTGGGGTGATTTTAGTTCCCATAAAGGAGTTTATTTTTCCTTTGCATTGTTTCTCTGAAATTGGTTTTTCCAGTTTGGTCAGTCCTCACTTCTTTGTTCTTTATGAACTTCTGTCATATCAAAAGTTTCCTTAATTCTGCTTTTAGAACTCTGGAAGTTATGTTTTTTATTTGTTTTGGATATTTAAGAGAGATTTTAACTTGATTATGCCACACCAGGAGGTGGCACTGGTGTCACAAAATTTTTTGACCTATAAAGTATAGAGTTAAGATTACATAAATTTATTTCTAAAGTTAGCTCCTTATGCTATAAATACCATATTTTTAGATTAACCTAATAGGAGGACACTATTTTTAACAGACATATATTGATAGAAAAGAGACAGTAACTAACATTAATTTCTGTATGTGGAATATCCTTTTTAGCTTAGAGAACTAAGTTTTAGTTCCACTTTTGTTAGTGGCTTTTCCTCTGATTGATGATAGGCTAGCTAAATAATCATGGAGCTTATTCACTTATCCCATTTTTTAAAGGAAGTATAGGTATTGTGCCTATTTGTAGTAGAAATTTGGGGTTGATTTTTTTTCATATAGAATTCTTCAGTGAAGCTCTTGTTCTGTTTCAGAATGTTACAAAAGAAAGACAGATGAAGTTACTACAGCAGCAGAATGACATCACAGGCCTTTCCCGGCAGGTGAAGCATGTTATGAACTTCACAAATTGGGCAATTGCAAGTGGCAGCAGCACAGCACTACTGTACAGCAAGCGACTGGTGAGACACGCACTATTTTTCTTTAATGGATTTTATTAAGATATTATTTATATTCAGTGAACTGCTCCTGTTTAAAGTATACATTTTAATTTTGGCAGATGTACCACCACCACATCAAGACACAGAAAACTTCCATCACCCCCCAAAGTTTCCTTGTTCCCCTAGGCAACCACTAATCTGGTTTCTATCATTTTTTAGAATTTCATATAAGTGGAATATGTACTCTTTTGAAGATACCTAGTATCTTAATGAAATTTATTACCCGAAATTGCAAAAATTCAAGCATGTACATTTGAGTTGATTGCTAACTTAAATATTGACACTGCCTAATCTGAGGCTGACATTGTGAGAATATATGTGCTTTTTTTCCTAATGTCTTTATCTTATGTTTTCCCAATTGATATTTAATTTTGAGACTAATGTGGATATTTTTCTCTTTTAAGATTACTTTTCAGTTGCGTCATATTTTGAAAGCACGGTGTGATCCTGTCCCTGCTGCTAATGGAGCAATACGTTTCCATTGCGATCCTACCTTCTGGGCAAAGAATGTAGTCAATTTAGGTGAGAAATAATGGGTTTTATGAATATAACTTGGAACACTGAATTAGGAGGAGAAGACATCTCAAGCAAATTTAGATAAAATTTTTAACTTTAAAATGTAAAACTACTTAGAAAGTATGTTATTCATTGGAAACTCACTTTAGCTATGGTTTATGGCTATCATTACATCTTAAGAAAGTTGAGAGTCTACTCTGTATATTGTTTTTTAATGTGTACTGTTTCTAGACCCCTGACCCTCCATCTTTTAAATTTATATTGACTGTTTTATATAGAAATCTTAGCAAATGGTTCATTGTCTGGAGAATTTCATAGATGTTTAGTTGTTTAAGCCGTATTGTGCATTAGCAGTGGACTTTTGGGATGCTGATGTGTCCAATAGTTTGTCTCAAGGAATGTCTGAAAGATAAGAATAGCTCTTCACATGGAAGAGAAATGGATTTTGCTTTTATTACAGCATAGTAGAGAGCTAAAGACCATAGGTGAAAGTTACAGAGAGCTCAATTAAAACACATACACACAAACTTCCTAGCAATTAGAGAGCTCTCTGCAGATTGAGTAAACTCACTTTCAGGACAGTTAAGTCCTAAACAGTGGGAATTATAAAAGCAGAGGCTGGTTGGCCTCCTGTTTAGAGACAAAAAACAACGTAATCTTTGTATAAAAGAAAAACATTATATTCAAATTTAGCTATAGCCTTAGTTCTGGCATTAGCCACCTGTTTTTGTGTGACATGATAGCTAAGAATGGTTTTTACATTTTCAACTGGTTGTAAAAACAAACAAAAATCAAGGACTGTGAGAGAGAGCTTATGTAGCCTGCCAAGCATAAAATACTTACACTATGGCCCATTACAGGGAAAGCCTGTCAACCTGTACTTTAAATCACATCTTCCTAAAATGTGGTTTCTATCCCTAGAAAGCAGTGGCTTTGTAAAAAGCAAGGAAAATAATCGTCACTTCTAAGGATATAAATTGTTTAAAGCATTCAGTATTTCCACAGAAGACGATTTTGTGGCATTGTAATGTTCCGCCTTGCACATTTTGGAATCAGAATTAGCAGTCTTGAGTATCCTTCAGTATGTCTTGTCATGGGAGAATTGATTTAGATTGATTAGACAGGCCTCATCTAATACCTCTTATAATCTCTTAATTTTCTGTACATCTGTGTAAAAAAGAGTAAGGACAGAAAATATATTTTTCTGAATAACCAAAAGTCATTTATTCAGCTTTGGAATGTATTAAGTTTCTGATAATCATCATGTTTAAACGGACTCCATTTCCTGCTGTACTGTTGGAGCTTTGAGGTGTTGATAGTTGTCAGAGAAAAGAGGAAAACATGGTGATTACTCAGCAAAATAGATGATTTAGTTGATTATATGCAAATTCTTCTCATGTTTTAAATTTTTCAGGTAATCTAGTAATAGAGAGTAAACCAGCTCCTGGTTATACTCCTAATGTTGTAGTTGGGCAAGTTCCTCCAGGGACAAACCACATTAGTAAAACCCCTGGACAGATTAACTTAGCACAGCTTCGACTTCAGCACATGCAACAACAAGTGTATGCACAGAAACATCAGCAGTTACAACAGATGAGGTTGCAGCAACCACCAGCACCTGTACCTACTACAACAACAACAACACAACAGCATCCTAGACAAGCAGCCCCTCAGATGTTACAACAACAGGTAAGTATGCATTACTGCATTATTGATAGAAATTATGAAGCCCCCAGCACTATACTTTTTTCTATATTAGTTAAGTTACACATTTCTAGGTTACTAGCAGGACTTTGAGCAGAGCTCAAACGTCAGCGTTTAAATATTTGCTCTGGTTATGATGGTGATGTAAGGGAGGTGTGAAGAAAGGAAGTAAGTAAATAACTTGTCTTGGGAAACAATTAATTAACTAGTACTCTGGAAGGATATAACTTCTCATCCTTTCACATCAGATCTTTTTTGTTTTCCGCTTACAATTGTGTGAACCAAAGAACCAGATTGTTTCTGCCTAGGATCTGATGTGTTCCTTAGGCGTTTGTTCAAGTCATTCCTATCCCTGGGTATCTTTTGCTGTCTCCACTGCCATCCCAATTAAAACCAGTACTCCAGGATGGGATAAGTTAATGTTGATACGCTTTAAACACACATACAGAGAAAAAGGCAGCGGGAAAGAGAGAGAAAAGGGAAATTTGGGAGTGATACACAAACTAGTCATTATCAGTTCTCTGGGGGCTGGGGCTAGCGATAAGAATTATTTATACTTTTTACTTTATACCCTTTTATCTTGACTCAGTTATTTTTATAATTGAAAGATAAATTTATTTTAAAATTATTACATAAATTGCAATTTCTGCTTTTTGTAGCCTCCTCGATTGATCAGTGTGCAAACAATGCAGAGAGGCAACATGAACTGTGGAGCTTTTCAAGCCCATCAAATGAGACTGGCTCAGAATGCTGCCAGAATACCAGGGATACCCAGGCACAGCGGCCCTCAGTATTCCATGATGCAGCCACACCTCCAAAGACAAGTATGCCTAGAGTTACATTTGTAAGAATCCTACAATTTTAAAACTAAAAGACACCATTTTTCTTAAGCACTTTTTGGGAGTAGGTCATTGATATGTTTGAGAATTTGATTAATGCCATATATCTTCTTGTCCCAGGAAAGTAAACATACCCATAAGATTTTGTATTTAATTTAAAGAGCTTTTAAAAATCCCTTTAAGTGCATCATATACTATGGCTTAATAAACCCTGATGTAGTTAACACATTCAGTTTACAGAAGTGAAAAGCAAATCTAATGAGCTGATGATTTTACCTACAATCACAAGAGGTAATGATAAAATAGCAAGAAACTTAGTTTCCTGAAAATGCTCCTCTGCTCTATTAATGTGACTTTTGATCCTAATATATAAAAAGGGCTTTCAGAGTAGTAGAGCTAACTATATACATATATATACATATATATATATATATGTGTATATATATATATATATAATTTTTTAGCTTTAATATTGTTCATTTTAGTATGTAAATATTCTTTAATAAGTGTATTTAGAGACATGTTTTATAATTTTTGCCCAAATAGCAAGTTATATTTATGTGGGAGATGAATTTATAAAGTGAGGTTACTTTTTAATAGAATTTCTAGTTACAAGATAATAGAGGTTTTTTTTTTTTTTTTTTAACTCTTAGAATTATGTTTCTTAAAACGTGTTCTAAAGACCATGAGAATTACCAGTCAGCTTGGGTGGGTTAAGGACCTTGTCAGAATAGATTCTTAGCCGTAATCACTGAATCAGAGTTTATACAAGGGAGTACTCAGTAATATTGAAATTTGTACAGAGTCTCTCAGGTCAATCTTCATACTAAAGTTGGAGAAATGCTTTTCTTTAACAGTGGTCCTTCAGCTTTTTGTCCATGTACCCCTAAAAAGTGCTTTTTAAAATACACTCTTCTTGGCTGGGAGTGGTGGCTCATGCCTATAATCCCAGCTCATTGGGAGGCCTAGGCAGGAGGGTTGCTCGAGCCCAGGAGTTCGAGACCAGCCTGGGCAACATAGTAAGACCGTGCTTCTATTTAAAAAAAAAGAAGAGAGAGAGAAAGAAAGAAAGAAAAATATATACTCTCCCACATTGAAGGCTTTCATTTAAAATTTCTATTATAAGTTTAATAGTTTCAAAAGCTATACTTTATAGCATATAATAAATATTGATGGTATAAAGTTAAAAAACCTCTACATTATTTTAGATGAATTCACCAGAATTCCAAATACCCTAGCAGGCTCTCCTTGGACTTGATTTTCACTTCTACTTCCTCAGCAGAGTTTAATCTTACTGTAATACAATTTTGTTTGATAGATATAGATTAGCCTATTGTAATTTTCTGCCAGAAAAAATGTTTATTGGAATAAATTGTTAAATTTCCCGTGACAATAAGGTTATCATTAAGCTTTGGAACTTTTTCTGTGGACCAAATTAACATTATATTATACAATTGTTGAAACAAAATGCGTGTATTTACATGGTTTAAGAATATTAGAAGATACGAAAGTCTTCTGGATAGACATTTCTTTGAGCTAGATGGAGACTTTTTACCTCCTGCTTTTGGTTACGTATGTTTGTATGCTGTTAATTATTTCTAAAATAAGTCAGAATTTGACATTGGTTTTTATTACTAGTTTTTTTGGATTTGTTTTTATGTAATGCTCAGGAAACTTGTTTACAAAATTATATATTTGAGAATTAAAATAATTTTATTATAGTAATATCCCTCAATTCTTTGAATTTTTTTCTAGATTATAAGCTGAGAAAACAATCTATCAAAACTATTTAAAAACTTCAGTGACAACTTCCTCAGGTTCTCATTTTTGTTAAACATCAGATATTTGAACCCATTTGAAGATTTGTTACTCAGGTTTTGGAGTCAGACACCCAACATCATTCTTTCCAATTGTACTGTTAATTATTTCTGCAGCTTTTTTTCCTTTCTAGTGCAGTGTTCCTAGAATAAGATTTTAGGACTGGTCAAAGGGACGGTGTTCTTGTGTCAAGGGTGGAGGAAGGGCAGTTGTGAAAGTGGTGGAAAAGAAGATCTAACAAACAGAGCGTGGCACATTCTTAGGCAAATCAGATTTTTTTTTTTTCTTTTAAAGAGTGCATACAAAAGGTTGAGGATCTGAACATTTATTGCCTTCACTCTTTTCCCATAATCATGTATCCCTTAGTTCATGGAAGGTCTTCAAGTATTTCCAGGGGCCAAGTACACCTTGTCAGAACACAGAAGCTACACAATCAGACCAATGAATCATCTCAGAACATTTTCCTTAGACTTTGGGTATACCCCTACAGAAATCACTTAATGTTATTAAGCATTTTTAGTTTTTAAATACTTCAAATAATTTATTTGTATGTGTATAATTTGTTTTCTAAATATTTTTTTCTGTATTGTCTTAAATGATCTTCATGACAGCCTTCACGATGAAACAAGTGAGGTATTGTTATCCACTTTTCTAAATAGCTGAGATTATGTGATTTGTCTAAGGTCACACAGTATTAGAGTCAGGACTTGATGCCATTTTTCCTTTCTGTAAATTCATTGTTCTTTCTGCCACATCAAGCTGCATTACATAATTGTTTTTATTAGAAAAATGACTAAGGGTGGAAGAGGAAGGTAGACAGAATCTTACCCTGGTGTTTGAAAACTTGGAGGCTTACAGATCCTCTGTTAAATATTTTCTTGTTCTGAAATAGCATCATATCACCAGGCTGACATGTTGGGAAATCGTCGGCATGTCTGTCTTTCCCTAGGTACTACACAAAAATGAATAGAAAAATGAAAAGGCTGAGTTTGAACTGTTCTTCTCCTGAATAAGTTTGAAAAAGCCCATTTTGTTTCTTCTGTTTCCTTCCTAAACTAAAAATTGTAAAGGTGTAGTTGATATTCAGCTATTCTGGCAGATCAAGTAATGACAGTGTCTTTTTTCTTACTAGCACTCAAACCCAGGGCATGCTGGACCCTTTCCCGTAGTATCGGTACACAACACCACAATCAACCCAACGAGCCCTACTACAGCAACTATGGCAAATGCAAACCGAGGTCCCACCAGCCCATCTGTTACAGCACTAGAGCTAATTCCCTCGGTTACCAATCCAGAAAACCTTCCATCGCTGCCAGATATTCCACCCATACAGGTTTGTATTTAAGTTGAATGAAGCTTCATTAAACTTAATGTTAATTAGAGAGTTAGAGTATTTATTTTATTTCAGGTGTTTTTTTTAAATTCAGAATCAACATTTCCTAGAAATTTCTAAAGTGTAAAGTCTGAATCACTAAAAGTCTCCAGTCTAAGTGAAACTTTGTACTTTTCATCAACATCCTCTCTTTCCCCATTCCCCACCTGCCTTCTCCTCAAGCCTCCGGTTAACCACCTTTCTATTCTCTGTTTATATGAGATGGAGATTTTTAGTTTCCACATGTAAGTGAGATTAGTCAGTATTTGTCTTTCTCTGCCTGGCTTATTATTATACGTAGCATTCCTTTGGTTCCATTCATGTTGTTGCAATATGACAGAATTGCCTTCTTTTTAGAGGCTATGTGATTAATTCCATTGTATATGTATACCACATTTTTAAAAATCCATTCACCCATTGATGGACACTTAGATTGCTTACATATCTTGGCTATTGTGAATAATGCTGAAGTGAACATAGGAGTGCAGATAATTTCTCTGATGTACCAATTTCAGTTCTTTTGGATATAAATTTTAGTGATCTCCTACATTTCACAGTGACCACAGTTGACTGATAGTGTGTTATGTATTTAAAAATTGCTAAAATGGATTTTTAATATTCTTACCACAAAAAAATGATGTGTTAGTGGGATTAGATATCATCATTAGCTTGATTCAATCTTTCTATAACACAGATCAGAACATTACATTGTACACCATAAGTGGACACAATTGTTATTTGTCAGTTAAACAAAGTTAAATCTAAATATTTGAGCCTTGAAAAGTTCGTTTGCTAAAACTAGCATTTCTCAATATTTTAAAGTTCTGGGGAAATGAATGTCATATGAATAGCAAATTATGAGACTGTCTAAACAGAAGTACAATAATTGTAGATTAATACCAGCTTTGCTAAAAGGCTAGTTCCTCCCTTTCTTCCACCTGCCACAGGCAAACGTTATGTCAGATGATGCACTCCTGGAGCCAGATCTTTGTTGTTTTTCTGTTAGGTCCAAAAGGGGTAGTCAGTTGGGAAAAGGATGGGGTTGGAAGGCCAAGACGTTAGACACTTTGAGGCTTCTACTGAGAGGGGAAATGATGGAGAAGAGGAATAGATGGAATGTGAAGGACCTTTGAGTGAAGCCTTTTGCCCCTTTCAACTGAAGACAAGTATCCTTTGGATCCTTCTGAAATTTCAGCAATTTGTTTCAGTTAAAAGCATTTTTTAAATGTAAATATAATCTGCCAGCGTTATACTGAATTATTTTATGCATTGTATGAGTTACTTTCATATCTTGGAGTCCAGGGTCACCATAGGAACAAGGAGCAATGAAACTGTTATTGACAGTAGCACCCATGATTGTTTCTGTGGCTGCAGTTCAATGTTTTGTTTTAGTGGGTTTTAATGGGCTTATGTAAGAGTTTTAAAGATATTTCTATAGCTTCAAACTTTTTAAAAAATTTTATTTAAAGTTAGTTTTGTGTATATTTAAGGTAACAACATGTTGTTATACATACATAGAGTAAATTGGTTACTATGATGAAACAAATTAAAATATCCATCATCTCACATAATTACCCATCCCCTTGCTCCTATAAGAGCGGCTATAATTTACTCATTTAGCAAAAATTCTGAATACAGTGCACTATAACAAAATCAGTTGTGTTCAGAAATCACTAACATACTGTGAATTCTCTTAATCTGATTGCTTCCCTAATGTTAGGAGAAGCCTTTTTTGGCTGAGGAAATGGTAGTTTTGTTGATGATGAGATTATATAGAATGGAAAGTTTTATAATATAAATTAAAAAGTAACATTTCTAAGTTAAGAGCTTATATTTTGTGAAGCGCTTTCACAGGCAGTATGTAAGTTTAATACTTAAAATCACCTGATGTGTAATGTCCCTATTTTATGGATAAGAGTAAGAGAGGTTAGTATAACTGCCTGACAGGTTTATTCGGCTCACTGCAAAAACAAAATCAATTCACAGAGACCATGGCATTACAGTAAAGAAAGAGTTTAATTGACACGAGGCCATCCACACCACACAGGAGATGGAGTTATTACTCAAATCAATCTCTTTGAAGACTTGTGGTTTAGAGGGGTTTTGTTTGTTTGTTTTGAGATGGGGTCTAGCTCTGTCACCCAGGCTGGAGTGCAGTGGCACGATCTTGACTCACTGCAACCTCCGCCTCCCAGACTCAAGCAATTCTCCTGCAGCCTCCTGAGTAGCTGGGATTAAAAGCGCATGGCACCACGCCTGGCTAATTTTTATATTTTACTAGAGACAGGGTTTCACCATGTTGTCCAGGCTGGTCTCAAACTTCGGACTTCAGGTGATCACCCTCCTTGGCCTCCCAAAGTGCTGGGATTACAGGCGTGAGCCACTATGCCTGGCAGTTTAGGGGTTTTTCAAAGGTAGTTTGGAGGAAGGGGTAGGGACAGCTAGGCAATGGGTGCTTGCTGCTGATTGGCTGGGGGATGCAGTCATATGGTGTGGGAAATGATCCCCTTTACTTGCGGAATCACTTTTGGGTGGGGCCACAGGAGGGCTCGTTGGGTCCAGCTGGAACCATCGTCTGTGTCAGACAATGTGAGAAACCTCAAAAAATATCTAAAAAGGTCATTCTTAGGTTCAGCAATAGTGATTGTTATCTGCAGGAGTAATTGAGGAAGTTATCTATCTTATGACCTCCAGGATAATGGCTGGCAGTCCTTTATGCCAACACCTTAGCAGAATTCAGGCTCCTTTCCTCCTCCTCATCTGGTGGTATCTCCTTAACTTTACAAAGGCAGTGGAGTTTTGGGGAAGGGCTATCATCATGTAAACTATAAACTAAATGTCTTCCTAAATCAGCTTGTCTCAAGCCCAGGAATCATTAATGTCAGCATGAAGGCTAAAGGCAAGAAAGCGGGAGGCTTGTTAGATCAGATCCTCCTGACTCTTTCACTGATACAGTTTTTGCAAAGGCAGTCATACAGCTTGGCTCTGTGTCCTCACTCAGATCTCACCTCGAATTGTAATCTCCACTTGTGGAAGGAAGGACCTGGTAGGAAGTGATTGGATCATGGGGTCAGTTTCTCTCATGCTGTTCTCACAAAATGTGACGGTTTTTAAAGTGTCAGTTTCCTCTGCACACCCTCTCTCCTGCCACCTTGTGAAGAAGATGCCTTCTTCCCCTTTTCCTTCTGCCATGATTGTAGGTTTCCTGAGGCCTCCCCAGCCATACAGAACTGTGAGTCAATTAAACCCTGTTGTTTATAAATTAACCAACCTCAGGTAGTATCTTTATAGCAGTGTGAAAATGAACTAAGGCAGGCAGTTTCATTAGTGACTTTCCTGGAGTCACATGATAGATAGAAAAGATGGAATTTTAAGTCCAGACTACTAATCCTAAGTGCAGTTCTTTCTCCACACTGCCTGTAAAAATACCAGGGAGGTAGTTTGGGATTGTAGTCCTGGAAAGACACAGTATAATAGTGTCATTTAGTTTTTACTAAGCACTTACTATATGCTAAAGTACTCAAGCATTGAGAATAAGGAGGTAAACAAGACTTGGTTCCAGTTCTTAACCTTACAAAGGTAGAAGCAAGTATCATCTGCTTTTTTATTGAAATGCGATTCATATGCTATGAGATCCACTCTAAAAATGTACAATTCAGTGGTTTTTCAGTACATTCACAGGATTGTACAACCATTACCACTAATTCAAGAATATTTTTATTACCTCAAAAAAAAAACAAACTGTACTCATTAGTAGTGACTCATATTCTTCTCTTCCAGCCCCTGGAAACCACTAATCTACTTTGTCTCCGTGGACATTCCACATATGAATGGAGTTATATCTGGCCTTTGATGTCTGGCTTCTTTTACTTAAGTTAATATTTTTCAGGTCTATCCATGTTTTAGCACGTATTAGGACTTCATTTTTTTTATGGCTGAATAATATTTTAATGTATACATACATTTGTTCATCAGTCGGTGAACATTTGCTTTTTTACTCTTTGGCTGTTAGGAATAATGCTGTTGTGAGCTTTCATGTACAAGTTCATACAGGTATGAATGTAGTATACTAGACTATTGTTGCATTGCTATTTATAAAGGAAAGAGGTTTAATTGTCTAACTTCTGCAGGTTTTACAGGAAGCATATTCAGGTTAAGCACATTTATGGATTATTTTTAACTATTCTTCTACTTAATTTGGCTAGATTAAGAATTCACATGGAGAAAATGTAGCATTAGCATTAATTTAAGCTGCTAAAATAGCCAAGATAGCTAAGTTTAAGATTGAAATGTAGAGGCGAAGTCTCAATTTTCTTTTGCCTAATAAGAAAACTTCCTCAAGGACTGAATTGTACTTTAGTGTAGATATGAGATATGGTTTGTTGGTCAAGATAGAGATGTCGTTTTACACTTGGGAAATGGTATATGCAAAGGCTTGAGGGAGTGAGAAGGCACAACCAGGGTAAGATAGAAGTGACTCAGTGTCGCCACTGACCTACCAAGTCAGATGTATTAATGGTGGTATAGTCAGGTAACTAAAAGAAATATATTAAAATGAAGATTTTTTTTTTTTTTTAAGACGGAGTTTCGCTCTTGTTACCCAGGCTGGAGTGCAATGGCGCGATCTTGGCTCACCGCAACCTCCGCCTCCTGGGTTCAGGCAATTCTCCTGCCTCAGCCTCCTGAGTAGCTGGGATTACAGGCACGCGCCACCATGCCCAGCTAACTTTTTGTATTTTTAGTAGAGACGGGGTTTCACCTTGTTGACCAGGATGGTCTTGATCTCTTGACCTCGTGATCCGCCCGCCTCGGCCTTCCAAAGTGCTGGGATTACAGGCTTGAGCCACCGCGCCCGGCAAAATGAAGAATTTTAACATTTACATTTTGGTTATGCAAGAAGGTAATAGTAGATAGTAAATGGAAAACGGAATGTTTTGTAGTATCATATTTTGTTTCACTTA